GCCGCAGACACAGGACCTTGTCCTCCCCAGAGGTCTGATCTGCCCGTACGTCAGAGTCCCCAAAAATGTTCTAGCGCAACAGGCACAGAGCATCACCCACAAGAAGTTAGGACCCACCCCAGACCTCAGCAGGTGTCCTGCGCCCCCCCCAGCAGCCCCCTGGCACCATACAGGTCTGGTCACCCAGAACTGGCGGTGCCACCACCAAACGGCCCTCCTGCAGAGCCGGGAGCAGGAGCAGCCCTTGCCACACTACCACAATAGGGAAAGCATCTGGTCCCCAGCGCCCTAGGGCTCAGGAAACAGGAAACCAGTTTTACTTTTTCAGTTACTGAAACAGCCTGCCTGAGCTTTCAACATCTCACGCCAAGCATCGGCATGAGAGGCCAGGGATGTCATCGTGAGCTCCAGCTGCCTGTTTCAGCCGTCCCAATAAGAGGAAGATGGGTGCTAAGGAGCTCTCCCCTCCACAGGGCACTGAGGACTGTGCAGCCCATAGCAGCTCGTACAACAGTGGCCACCCACACCTCCACAAGCTCTCCCAGTGATCCTGCATGGGGTACCAGATTGCTGGGACCCCCGAGGTTTTCGTTTTACCCTTGGCCACCCCATGAGGAACGCTCTGGGCCTGCCTCCCCAGAGAGCCCTTCACACCACTGAGGGAAAATACCCTACGAGCTGGGACTTGGCTCTGCCACAAGGCAATGGTGCTCTAGAAACCCCCCAACGAACTCAATGCCCCACTGCCTCGCAGAGTGGGCAGCCTCGGACACCCCTGCCCCAGCTGCACCCCTCCCTCTGCTGTACCTGATGGTGTGGGACAGGGCTAGGATCCCCAGCACGAAGAAATACATGGAAAGCAGAAGATTGATGTACTCTTGAGAGAATATCTGCAAGACAAACCCAGAGAGGGGTGAGTTACCGCAGTGTCCTCCCCATCTACAGCACAAGGAAGCACTTCACTTTGCAACCAGCAGCTGCTGTGTCCGTGCTCCAGGGAGATGAGAAGAATAGCTGGAATGACCCAAATTCTTGCACCTCCAATGTGAAACATGTTGGAAATAGTGGTGTGCTCACAGAACAAGCACAACGGGTCTGCGAGTTGTCGCATATCTATGAAGTGCTCGGGTCAAAAAATAACTCCCGCGTTGCAGAAAGGAGGACAGAGCTTCCCCCACACATCCCCAGCCGAGTGAGCCAGAGCAGGGAGTGAGGCACCGCGCCGCTCCTGGGGGCTGCCCTGGCAGAGGGGAGCAGCTGCACCCCACCTCACTACTGCAGTGGGCCGAGCATGTCCTGCACTAATTAAATGGGGTATTATTAGAAACCCTGCCCTCCAACACACACACTGTGCCGAATCACACCCTTACAGCCTGGCACGGGGGGACCCCGGGGTCCTCTGTGCTCTCCCGGAGGGGGGGTGCTGGAATATGAGGGCTCACGGCAGGTTGCAGGTATTAAAAGGAAGAGCCACCGATCATGCAGCGACTTCAGTGGGGCCACTCTGCACATTCAGTACTTTTTTTCCTGGTGCCTCCATCCCAGCCAGGCGCAAGAGGCAGAAAAGGCACCTGAGGAGGCAGAGCAGTACCCCGAGACATTGGCCGTGGGGAAGGGGTGGGCTGCAGGGGGTCCCTTCAGCGGCCAGAGGGGCCCAGCAGCAGAGTCTGGTGGCCACTCCGTACCCCCACCATCAGGAGAGGCTCAGCAGACGCTTGGCTTTACTACTGATGACCTACAAAAGGAGTCACAGCCCCAGTGAGCACACAGGCTAAACTTCATTGCTGCGAAAGCAGGGGATATTGTTAGGGAGGCCTGATCCTGGCTGCTGCTGCAGAGCTGACCTCCATGGCTGCGCAGGCTGCGGCATGCACTCGCCTTCCCGGTGCAGCTGCAGCGCAGGCCGGTGCCCAGGCCCACGGCGAGGTAAGGACTTGGAACAGTGTGGCCGTCAGCCCACACGGCCACTCGACCCGGGTAGAAGCCCGCAGCATCAGTCAGCTGCTGCACGGTAACTCTGGTTGCTGGAGAAGGAACTGTAAATTGTAATATTCCCAACTTTGCACTTTAAACCTCACCTCCTGGCCAGCCAGGAGCACGCTTCTGCCTCACAGGCAGCCCAGGACCGCAGGGTTGGAAGCTGCCGTGCTGAGAGGACCACTCTGCACTGGCAGTCCCACGGCTCGTCAGGCCCCTCCAGGAGCTCAGCTGCACGCCAGACGTGTACGGGCAGCCAAAGGTGCTTTAAGCCAAGACACCTTCTCCACACAGCCAAAACCACCTGCTGCTGGGATCGCCTATCTGTGACTCAAGAATGGTCATCTAACTCTGCTGATTGGCTCTGCACGTCTAAAAGACTTCACCTGAACACACAGGGGCTCACCCACAAGCCAGCGATCCCCCAAGTCTGCAGCTGCGACGGCTTCAGAAGCGCAGCACGAAGCACAACACAGAGACAGCAGCATCTGCAACTCGGCAGTCCGCGGCACCTGCTAGTTTCAGTCTGTGCGCCGTCAGGTCGGCCCACGGAGGCAGGCAGAGCCTGGGGTGAAGCCGCCCCTGAGAAGCTCTCCAGAACCAACCTGTGCACAAACAGGCTCTGATTTACCCCAAGCTGTTCAAATTCAGGCGAGAACTGATGTTGTCCTGTTTGGTGACAACAAAGAGCTTGAGCTGTGCAGCCTTACACACTTTCTGTCCCAACGCTTAGGGGTCCCAACCAGGGTAAGCCAAAACTCGAGTCAGCCCCGTTTCAGGAGCCCCTGACCAGGTGGGGAGGATGGCAGGTACTGCTCCAGTGCCCGCCGGCATTGCTCACTTACTTTAAAGAAGAGGTAGAGCCCCAGAAGGGTGCAACTGGCAACAATGGGAAAACGAGCAGCATCTCGGCTGGTAATGGTCTCTGGCATCTCTGAGGAGTTCTGGGGAGGGAAGGAGAGGATAGGAGTGAATCAGCCCCTGCTCTGGCTTCATACCTGAGCAGGAGGTGAACAGATACAATAAGCAGGGCTCCGTGGCAGCTTTGAGAGGGGATGAGCACCCACCAGTGCACCCCACATCATTCATGAAGGTGGGGCTGTGTCACAGGCAGAGCCTGAGACGGAAAAAGCAAACCTTGCACTCGTCTGTCCAAGGGCTGCCATGAGTTACTGCTTTTTTCCTCTCAGAGGAGGGAAAAAAACCCCTGTACTGGCATTGTTCCTGTCTCCCTGTGCCCAGAGGGGAGCTGGGCTCCCTTGCTGCTCGCGCCTGGCCGTCCCCATCAGCCTCCCCATCTGTGCACACCATATGTCGATCACCCTCTGAATGACATTTCTCTCCAATCACCTTGTTATCCCTCACCTCGCTCTTGGGATGCTCCTTGTGCTCAAAAGCCCCAGATTTATAAACCCTTTTTGCCTTCTGAGACATCTTTGCATCAGCTGAACCAGCCTCCTTTTCAAGCTATTTCCCACAAGACCTTCAGCTTCCAGAGGAAAGACAGAGGGCTGCCTGCTCCCCTGCCTGCTCAGCTGCCTGCTCCCCTGCCCAGCTGGCCGCTGCTCAGAGATCTAATCTCACGCAGGCAAACACCTGCGGCCAGTGCCGGACAGAGGGCACGCCAGCGGAAGCTCTTATGCAAAGCAACCCTGTAAAGGAACAACAGCTTATCCCGGGCACAGCAGCTGCACGCAGCGCTTGGCGGTGCAGAAGCAAGTGCCTGAGAGCCACTGGCTCCCTGTGGTGAGAGTGAAATCCCCCCTGAACCACGGCCAGGCCCTGCTCGCAGAAGTCGGTGGCCTGGGCTGCCAGGAACCCCACTAAAATGAGCTGAAACCTCTGAGATAAGACATAAGGGCAGACAAGGGGCTTGAAAAAACAGTAATAAATCAGGCTGTGTAGAACAGCCCCTTCTCCTGAGCTTCAGCAGCCAAAGCCTTAGGATTTAAGTCCCAGCTGGTACCCGAGGCCAGGCGCAAGATGCAGGGAGCAGCAGCACGGTGGGCTGCAGGGACAGCACAGGGGACGCAGGCAGGGCACACAGGCAGGAGAGCGCGACAGCATCCCAGGAACCAGCTGCGGGGCAGGGAGCAAAGCCAGTGCACCCAGCACAGCACCTCGTGGGGAGGAGACAAGGGGCGGCCACGCGTTTTGCAGCACTTGAATTTCTCGGGACAGTGAGGACGGGCTGGAGAAGCCCCCGGGGGAAGCCAGACCTCTCCCACACCCACCGGGGCGTGGGTG